TAAAAGTGACATTGCAGGATACAATGTACACGCGACCATATCTCAAACATACAAGACAATAGAACCTGTTGAATCAATTTGGTTAGAAATATTGATTGGCAAAATCAAAATTCTAGTTGCATGTGTGTACAGACCTAAAGAAAAAACCACACAAGTAGAAAACATACAACTCATAAAAACCATCGAAAATGCATTGTCACTAAAAGTACCTGTCTACATCATGGGAGACTTCAATTACCCCGAAATAAAGTGGAATACACTGGAAGTCCATCCAAATGACCAGTGCAGCCAAGCCTTCCTAGAAAGCTATAAAAACCATAGGGGGTATCAGCAAATAAATTTTCCAACAAGAATCCGCAACACCCAGATATCATTACTTGATCTACTCATAACCAATGAGAAAAAGTTAGTTTTTGATATCAAATCACACGCACCCTTGGGAAAAAGTGATCATGTTGTAATCACAGCCAAGTCACAAATAAATGTAGCTGCTCAACCAACCAGAAAAATTTACAAAAGGCAATTTTGGAAAGCAGATTACATCGCAGTTAATGAAACACTTGAACAGGAATTAAGAAGACTGGCAAACCCATTGACTTTCAACCAATTCTACGAGGCTTTAACAAACACAATAAACAAACACATCCCAAACAAACCACAAAAAGTTAATCCGCAAAAACCATGGCTCACAAAAGAAGTTTTCAAAGAAATTCAACAAAAGCGAAATCTTTGGCATAATTACCAAAACAACAAATCTGAAGAAAATTATCAAATTTATCAACACCAAAACAACAAAACAAAAACCTGCACAGTATCGGCCAGGAGAAACTATGAACACAATTTATTAGCGAACACTAAACAATTCTACTCATACATAAGCCGTTCGCTAAACTCAAAGCATGCCAGCTTCAATCTAATAGATAAGGATACCTCAATACCGTTCAAATCTGATCAGGAAATCGCAGAGTGCTTCGCGCAGCAGTTCCAGAGTGTTTTTACTATTCTGGACGCAAACACCCTTAGGCCCACACTACCAGTAAATGCTTACACGGTAACTGAGATAAATCACATCGAATTTACACCAGAAAAATTAGAAGTTGCCATAAAGTCATTAAAGTCCAACTCAAGTCCTGGAATAGATGAAATTCCTTCCATTTTTCTCAAAAATTGTGTACAAGTTCTAAAAGCACCCCTGGCAAATGTGTTAAACATCTTACAGACAACAGGGGAATTTCCGAAAGCCTGGAAGAAAGCTATTGTCACACCAATATTTAAAAAAGGAAATAAACAGTTGGCAGAAAACTACAGGCCAATTAGTTTAACTAGCATGCTGTGTAAGTGCATGGAAAAAGTCATAGCAAAAGAACTTACATCTTTCTTCTTGGAAACAAGGATCATACCCTCACAGCAGCATGGCTTCCTACCAAAAAAATCCACATTCACTAACCTTCTAACTAGGTTCAACGACTGGTCACTGGCTGATGACAACCGAGAACCAATGGATGTGGTCTACCTTGACTTCGAAAAGGCGTTTGACAAAATACCAATCGAATACATCAAATACAAACTACAGCAATTTGGAGTCAGAGGTGATTTACTACGGCTGATTGGTGATGGTTTTTTGTCTGGTCGAACTTTCCAGGTACGAATTGGTACTAGCCTGTCGCAGGAGCACAAAGTACACAGCGGAGTTGCTCAAGGCTCAGTTCTCGGTCCCCTCATATTCATAACATACTTGAGCGATCTGTACCAGGGACTTACAACAAAAAATGCATCTTTTGCAGATGATGGTAACCTATATTGTAACCCTCTATTACAACATAAGGACCTACAGCAAGATCTTGTCAGAATAAAGGAATGGACAACAAAGTGGGGAATGCCACTTAATGATTCCAAATGTACTGTACTACACATAGGCCAGAATAACCCTAGTCATAGCTATTTTCTACAACAAACACCAATAACAACTGTTGCAAAGCAGAAAGACCTTGGAATCACAGTGACGGCAGACCTAAAATGGGAGACACACATCACTAATGTAACAAAAAAGGCAAACTCAATGACATACCTCATCAAAACAGCATTCAAAGACCACTCTAAAGAGATGATTTTGAAACTGTATAAGTCCTACATTCGACCAAAACTTGAGTATGCCCAATCAATCTGGAATCCTTACTATGTGAAGGACATTGAACAACTCGAGCGAGTACAACGGCGGATTACTAAGCTTCCTAGTGAACTTAAAGATCTGCCATATGAAATCAGACTGACTCAATTGAACCTGACCACACTGAAAGACCGCAGAACCAGAGGAGATCTTATCGAGACATTTAAGATTCTCAACGGATACTATGCCTGCAACTTAACCAATATATACCAACTCAGCATTAATCAAAACTTACGGGGTCACAACAAAAAGCTATCCAAAGAAAAATGCAACAAAATGCTTAGACAAAACTTCCTGTCCAACAGGGTGGTGTATCATTGGAACTCTCTGAGCAGCGACACCGTAAACTCAACATCCAAGAACCAATTCAAAAATCGCCTTGACAAGGAAATCGAAGACTGGAACAATATGTTGTGCATTACTCTGCATGACCAATCTAAATGTGATTTTAATAACACCAAACAATGACACACGCAGTACAACAGACTCAGTAGTCTCATCGGATTTTAAATCCGCCTACTGCTGAAACTAATAATAATAATAAAGAGAAAAATTAGGAGCTCGCTATATTGAAATTTCAAATTTTTACAATGAAAAACAACACTATGAGAAATTGATAAAAATCAACTAGCAAAATCTAAATTAAGCAAAAGTGCAATTTCATACATTTTATTATTTTTCAGGAAAACTACTCAAAGAAAAATTATGAAAATTTTGAAATAAAAAGAGAAAAATTAGGAGCTCGCTATATTGAAATTTCAAATTTTTACAATGAAAAACAACACTATGAGAAATTGATAAAAATCAACTAGCAAAATCTAAATTAAGCAAAAGTGCAATTTCATACATTTTATTATTTTTCAGGAAAACTACTCAAAGAAAAATTATGAAAATTTTGAAATAAAAAGAGAAAAATTAGGAGCTCATTATACTAAAATATCAAATTTTTCTAGTGAAAAACAACACCATGAAAAATTAATAGAAATCAATTTACAAAATCTAAATTTAACAAAAATGCAATCTCTTACATTCTAATATTTTTCTGGAAAACTACTAGAGGAAAAATTATGAAACTTTTAGGATAAAAAGAGAAAAATTGGAAGCTCATTATGCTAAAATTTCGAATTTTTCCAGTGAAAAAAAAACACCATGGGAAATTGATCAAAATCAACTTGTAAAATCTAAATTAAGTATAAAAATGTAATCTCTTAGATTTTAATATTTTTCCAGGAAACTACTGAAGGAAAAATTATGAAACTTTTAGGATAAAAAGAGGAAAATTATGAGCTGATTATACTAAAATTTCAAATTTTTCCAATAAAAAACAACACCATGAGAAGTTAATAATAATCAACTTGCAAAATCTAAATTAAACAAAAATGCAATCTCATACATTTTATTATTTTTTCTGGAAAAATATTGAAAAATGTAATCTCTTATATTTTAATAATTTTTTGGAAAATTACTTGAGGAAAAATTATGAAATTTTTAGGATAAAAAGAGGCAGATTAGGTGCTCATTATACTAAAATTTCAAAGTTTAAGCAAAAATGCAATCTCTCACATTCTAGGTAATATTTTTTTTTAAGAAAATTACTGAATGGAAAGTTAGAAAACTTCTAAGATAACAAGAGGAAAATTAGGAGCTCATTATACTAAAATTTCAAATTTTTCCAAAAAAAACAACATTGAAAATTAATGAAAATCAACTTGTAAAATCTAAATTAAGCAAAAATGCAATCTCTCACATTCTAATATTTTTCTAAGAAAATTACTGAATGGAAAGTTAGAAAACTTCTAATATAACAAGAGGAAAATTAGGAGCTCATTATACTAGAATTTCAAATTTTTCCAAAGAAAAACAACATGGAAAATTAATGAAAATCAACTTGAAAAATCTAAATTAAGCAAAAATGCAGTCTCTTACATTTTCTCATTTTCATATTTTTCTGGAAAATTACCGAAAGAAAAATTATGAAACTCTTAAAATAAGAAGAAGAAAATTAGGAACTTTAGTATTATACTAAAATTTCAAATTTTTCCAGTGAAAAACAACACCTGGGCGATTGATGAAAATAAATTTGGAAAATCTAAATTAAGCAAAAATGCAATCTATCATATTCTAATATTTTTTTAGAAAACTACTGAAGGGAAAATTAAGAAACTTCTAAGATAACAAAAGGAAAATAAGGAGTTCATTGTACTAGAATTTAAATTTTTTTTAATGATAAAAATCATGGGAAATTCATGAAAATCAATTTGCAAAATCTAAAATTAAGCAAAAATGCAATCTCTTACATTTTAATATTTTTCTAGAAAAATATTGAAGGGAAAATTATGAAACTTTTAGGATAAAAAAGGGAAAATTATGAGCTCATTTTATTAAAATTTCAAATTTTTCCAGTGAAAAACAATACCATGGGAACCTAATGAAAATCAACTTGCAAAATCGTAATTAAGTAAGTAGAAATCTCGGTAGAAATGCAATTTCTTTAATTATAATATTTTTCTAAAAAACTACTAAAGGGAAATTTATGAAACTTTTAGGATAAAAAGAGGAAAATTAAGAGCTCATTAAGTATACTAAAATTTCAAATTTTTCCAGTGAACAACAACAACATGAGAAATTGATGAAAATCAACTTTTAGAATTTAGATTTTTGCACTTTGTAAATTTGAAAAAAACTCTTCAAATAAGAGATTTTAATTGGAATTTTTTTAATCCTCAATATCTTGGTATCTATATCAGATATTGAGATATATTTTTAAAATATTGTACCTCTGAATTGAATGCTTTAAATAACCTATTTTAAAATAAAATAGAGACATACTTACCACATCACTATTTGAGGAAACAACGGCGTAAACACCAAAGAAGTGAGCGCGAACCAAAAAGTCGCAAACAAAATCCCAACCACAATGCCCCAAAACACTTGTGACACTGTGTGATATTGCAAATAAATCCGGCTAACACAAACTAGCAGCGCCACAACCATCGATGACGAAATAATAAGGAATTTGGAAATGTTTTCAATTATCGTGTTGTTATTCATATGGTACAATCTATAATATAAGAATAATTATTTTTAAATAAAAATGAAATAAAACAGTATTTACCTAATAAACACAAAATAAACAATATAAGTGGCGAAAAAAGACATGAATTGAGCATGTGAAGAGGGCATTCCATACTCAACATGGACATCTTCCCTATGCATTGGCCTCTTTTCACATATCAAATGTTTGAGAGCGTAATTAAGGGCTTCTGAGCAAATAGTGCCCAAAAAGAAAGTTATCTGGAATTTGAATTATCAAATGTTGAAATAAATAGGGGCCTTATTGTATTACTTACCGTATGTAAATCTCGTCTGAATAATATCAGAGCTACAAAGCCTGCACCTATACCGAAGGGTGCCAAGCTTATAAGAGCTAGAAATTTTCCTATAATATCACCTGGAAATTAATTAGGACTTCAGAGCATATTAATCACAATTATATTGAGGCCTACCTTTGGGGTATTCCACTAGGGTTAAAGAAAGGGGCTCCCATTTAACATCCTCAATTAATCTAGATGTTTCAGTTTCCATTTTGCATTTTCCACTTTAATTTAATTTGCCGCACTATTATTTGTTGCTATTTGATTCATAAATTTACTATTTTGAGGAATTTTGAATATTTTCTGAAATGTTTTTGGTTACGGGGGGACAATATGGCAACCGACTGTCAAAAAAAAAACAGCTGATATTGCAATTTAAAGTTTTTGATTAGCGCAAAGTATTTCTATCTTTTTCTTTTATAGGCCGAAAGAAAGAGATGGTTATACATTCGCAGTGACAAGTTTCCATGTTTTCAAATTTAGGACCAATATTTCATCTTTTTCTATTTATATGCATTAGAAAGAGAGCAAAACTTTAGATGATTTTCGAAAGCGCCTACTATGTTACATAACCTCAAATTTTTTATAAACAAACCATAATTTTGAAAATTATTATATAAATCTTTTTTTACTTAATGAAAAAGTATGTCTAGACCGATAACGTTTGTAACGGGCAATGCCAAAAAACTGGAAGAACTTATCGCCATCCTGGGTCCCTTTCCCAAAGAAATTGTCAACAAGAAACTCGACTTACCGGAACTTCAAGGCGAAATCGAAGATATCTGTACGAAAAAAGCCAGCGAAGCCTTCAAAGCAGTTGGAGGCCCCGTTTTAGTCGAAGACACCTGTTTGTGTTTTAACGCTTTAAAAGGTTTGCCAGGTCCTTATGTTAAATGGTTTTTAGAAAAGTTGGGGCCTGAAGGACTGTATACCTTGCTAACAGGGTATGAAGACAAGTCAGCTGAAGCTGTTTGCACTTTTGCTTACCATTCGGACGAAAATGGGGACAAAGTTGTATTATTCCAGGGTAGGACCGAGGGCGAAATTGTTAGCCCTAGAGGGACAAGGGAATTCGGATGGGATGCTTGTTTTCAACCAAAAGGCTACAATTTAACTTATGCTGAAATGCCCAAACCGGAAAAAAATAAAATATCACATAGGTTCAAGGCCTTGGATAAGCTTAGAAATTATTTTAACAATTGTGTGTAAACTACTTTCTTTAGGTGTACAAATATTTATAAGACTTCATTTAAATAAATTATATTTGCCATCAATAAAAATAATATTGCTATTTCCCAAACCAGCAGAACATCAGGACTCATCCTTTTCTTGCTGATAACACCCAACCCAACTACAATCCTTCAAATTTCAAAAAATGGTGCCTTCTTTCATCCATTTTCGTCGGTCCTTCTCTAATCATTAATGTTGAAAAAAGACAGTATTAACTTAAATTTTTTTTTCAAAATGAACATTCAATAAGAAAACACTCTGTATACAGAACCTGCAGATGTTTGACTTTCAAACTTTCTAACACAATCCTTTATCAAGTAGGCCATGCATTTACCATCTATGCATTCACCCGAGGGGGTAACATCTTGCCGCAATACTGTCACAAATTCTCAACAATCGCTTGCAATCACTTAAATATCCGTGACAATCTCAGTCGCAGTCCCACAATCGGGTTTGCGATCTCACAATCTCTGTAAAACAATCCTACAATCGCATTCGCTGCCCCACAATCGCTGTCGCAATCTGACAATCGCATTGGCAATCGCGTACACCATCACTTGTTTTAAGGTACAATCGCGAACCGCGCATGCGCGTTTATTTGTTTATAGTAAGAGTCAGCGCAGTCGGCAAAGATAGACTGACAGGCAAATTTCTTGCTATTTTATGTTATTTATTAGCGATTAAACTGTTGTTTTCTGTGAGTTTTCACTGCAGTATCCTACTGTCAAGAAAAATAAATTCTATTCGTTCCAGTGTTGGCGGCCAGCCCTGCATTACATTAACACATACCATTAGACCCTAAAGCCTTCTAAAAATAAAAGTCTGGGAAAAATATTTGTTGGTGAAAAAATCAACACTGTGTTCTCTATTTTCCAATAAAAACGCAAGTAAAAACGGAAAGTTATGAACAGATAGAAATCTCAGATGCAAAATTGTCAAAAAAAAATAAATAAAGTAATAGAACAGCGTCAAGTAGGAATAGAGCCTATTAGATAGATAGATAGATAGATAGATGTTTATTTCCAAGGATCACATACAGGATATAGGAAAATATTTACAGATAAAATTTGCATTACATACTAATCAATAACGTAACATTATAAATAATCAAATACCTATTTATAACAATAAGCATAAGAATAATCAAATAATATACCTATTACAATTTTTATGAAGTATTCTTTCATATCTTCCACTGCGTAAAGTTTAGAAACTCCTCCACTGTATAGAATGCATTTTCCAATAAAATATTTTTAATAAAACATAAGAACTCATTCTGATTTAATTGACGTTTGCTAATAGGTATCTTGTTATACAAAATAGCCCCTATGTAGTAAGGATTTGCTTTGTAAAGCTCAAGACGATGAACGTCATATTGATAATCAAGTCCAAATCTAGTTGTGTAATCATGATGCAGATTTAGAGCTTTAAAAGCATTTGAGTTATCCCTTACAAATTTCAAGATTTCGAAAATGTATAAACAAGGCATAGTCATGATTTTTTCAGAAATAAATTTTTGTCTACAAGATTCCCTAAACTTCATATTATACATTAATCGAATAGCCCTTTTTTGCATTATAAAGACTCTCTGTGAAGCAGAGGTTGCACCCCAAAGCACAATCCCATATCTAATACATGATTCAATAACTGAAAAATAAAACATTCTTACAGTGCTTCTACTTGTTATTTGAGACAGACGATATAAAGCAAAACAACTCTTTGCACACTTATTGCATACATAATTTATCTGCTCTCTCCAGCTTAATGACATGTCAACATGGATACCCAAAAGTTTCACAGTATTAACCTGCCTTATTGATCTGCCATTCAAGAGAATGTATTGACTTTTATTGTAATTTGCCTCATAAGGATGAAATTGCATTGTTGTAAAAAATTAAAAGAGCAAAAATAATAAACTGCAGTCAACAAGGGCTCCAAGCATAGAAGATGCCGCAACCTCTGAAGGTCGAAGCTGTATTCCGAAAAATGAAGAATACTATGCTGCTGCATATGATACATGGTATATTGACCGGATCATAGAGACGTTAGATGTTGAAGTGAAGTATAAAATGAAGTTCCTCAGAAGAGGTCTTGATGATTACATTTGACAAGATAAAGATATACAAAAAGTAGCAAAAAATATACAGGGTGTCCCACCGGAAACCAAATCGATCCATATATGAAAAACTGTATGCAAAAAATTTTTGAAAATTTGTCAGTATAGGTGCTAATTTCAGTAGGGGCAACCCCACTAAAATATTTTCAAAATGGTGGCCCTTCCGGTTATACCGCAAGTAGACAACTTGCTTATTTTAAATGAGACACCCTGTATGTGATTGCATATTTGGATTCTACGTAAAATTCTGAGCAGATTTCATGTCATATACCCTATACCCAAGTTCAACTGTTTTGGAAATAATAGAGAGTTATTGGACGTGCAATAAAGACAAGCAGTATTTAAAATAGCCTTATTTTGACATCTGCGCATGCGCATTTGGTTCTGAAAATAAAGATCTCCTTAATAAGGTTACTGCTTGTCTTTATTTGTAGGTATATGATTAGTGTGAGGCAGTATACTTCCCTTATTTCAACATTTCTGATAATTTGACGATTATGACGTTTCGCTTTTGTCGAGCTGTTAAAATTGTGAATACAAAATAAGGTAAAACTCAACCTCGTACTCAAAACATACTACAATCTTCCAATAACTGTTATTTTCTGGGAGAAATAGTGCTGATGCACTGATAAAATAATGTAAATCCTTAATACTGCCAGGCAGTATTTAATAGTTCCAATAACTCTCTATTGACAATTGAAAATTGACTTTTTGCAACTTTGACAGCCTGTAAAACCTAAACGGTTAATTTTAGAGGAAAACCGATTTCACATTCCTGTCTTAGATTTTTATAAACTATCACCAAACACCATTTAATTTAATCCATGATTAAAAATTACAATTAAATTTAATCTCCGGTTGAATTCAAAGTTGATGTCAAATGATAGTTTATGGAAATATAAGAATGTGAAATCGGTTTTCCTCTAAAATCAACCTTTTAGGTTTTACATCCAGTCAAAGTTACAGGAAGTCAATTTTCAACTGTCAATATTTCCAAAACAGTTGAACTTAAGTATAGGGTATATTGCATGAATTTGCTCAAAATTTTACGTAGAATCCAAATATGCAATCACATAGGGTATCTCATTTGAAATAAGCAAGTTGACGTCTTCTTTCGGTAGAACCGGAAGTGCCACCATTTTGAAAATATTTTAGCCGGGTTGCCCCTACTGACATTAGCACCTATACTGTCAAATTTTCAAAAATTTTCTGCATACAGTTTTCCATATAGGTATAGATCGATTCGGTTCCCGGTGGAACACCCTGTAAATATGGTCCTTTTCATCTCAGAAAGCAAGACAAAGTGGATATTGCGAATAGGCTCAAGATATTGAAAAAATATATATATCCATTCAAATAATAACATTTGACAGGAATTATTTTTTTTAGAAGCTCATTGGACGTCGGTCTATCAAATTTGACTTTGACATTTGTCAAAAATTGCCTAGTTCAAGAATGACGAATTTTTATTCATAAAAATGACACTAATTTGAAGTTCAATGGACTTTGAATTATCTCTAATCGTCAAAATAATAACATTTGACAGGAATTATTTTTTTTACAAGCTCATTGGACGTCGGTCTATCAAATTAGACTTTGACATTTGTCAAAAATTGCCTAGTTCAAGAATGACGAATTTTTATTCATAAAAATGACACTAATTTGAAGTTCAATGGACTTTAAATTATTTCTAATCGTCAAAATAATAACATTTGACAGGAATTATTTTTTTTAGAAGCTCATTGGACGTCGGTCTATCAAATTTGACTTTGACATTTGTCAAAAATTGCCTAGTTCAAGAATGACGAATTTTTATTCATAAAAATGACACTAATTTGAAGTTCAATGGACTTTAAATTATCTCTAATCGTCAAAATAATAACATTTGACAGGAATTATTTTTTTTAGAAGCTCATTGGACGTCGGTCTATCAAATTTGACTTTGACATTTGTCAAAAATTGCCTAGTTCAAGAATGACGAATTTTTATTCATAAAAATGACACTAATTTGAAGTTCAATGGACTTTAAATTATCTCTAATCGTCAAAATAATAACATTTGACAGGAATTATTTTTTTTACAAGCTCATTGGACGTCGGTCTATCAAATTTGACTTTGACATTTGTCAAAAATTGCCTAGTTCAAGAATGACGAATTTTTATTCATAAAAATGACACTAATTTGAAGTTCAATGGACTTTAAATTATCTCTAATCGTCAAAATAATAACATTTGACAGGAATTATTTTTTTTAGAAGCTCATTGGACGTCGGTCTATCAAATTTGACTTTGACATTTGTCAAAAATTGCCTAGTTCAAGAATGACGAATTTTTATTCATAAAAATGACACTAATTTGAAGTTCAATGGACTTTAAATTATCTCTAATCGTCAAAATAATAACATTTGACAGGAATTATTTTTTTTACAAGCTCATTGGACATTAATCTATCAATTAAATACAAAAGTTGTAGGGTATTATCTCTATTATATTTTTGGCTAGCATGATTGATCTTTTCCTTCTGAGTTCAAATACACCATACCAAAATTGCATTAAGTAAGCCTCACCATTGATTTAAGGAACCGGGAACCAACTTGATTTAGGGTAATGAAAATGCATTTTAAAACTTAGATATCGTAAAAACTGCTGAACCAAATATCAACATTTGTATATGGTATATTTGGAATCAGAAGAAATATATCATTTTATTCAAAAAGATACAGGGTGTTCCATTTGAAAAAATGCAAGTGTTTGTTGACACCTGCCATTTACCCGTTTTGACATGTGCATGTGCAAAAGATGATAGAGATAAAACCCTACAACTTTTGTATTTAACTTTTTTTATTATTATTTTTTTTTTGTTCAAGTTGTAGAATCGACACTATAAACACTATTCATGAGCAAGAAAGGAACAGACCCTGTACATACCCATATACAACTT